CAGGCTACCTGAGAGATCACCTCTGCCTTCATGACCCTGACGTCTCACAACAGCTACATCCCACTGTTCACCAGTCAGGAACACTCATGAGCATGGGAGCCAGAACTTCTTAGAAGCTGGACTCAGACTATGGAATGAGAGAATAACCACCTCTGCATTTTCAGAACCAAATACAAAACTTATTTCTTCAACTTAGCTTTATTGCAGCAATTTCTATCCTCACACTTACGCTCATCCCCACAGCACACCTCCGCACACACACACACCAAAACAAAAACCAAAAAAAGAAAAAAAAACCCAAACCACATACTAACTAGTCAAGTTTTTACCCTAAAAAGCAGGGAAGAAAGAGCGAGATTGTTTTGTTAATTTGGGGAGCTGCTCAGATACTCTGGTGTTGAGGACCATGTAAATAAATAGAGAGGTTAAAGACAGACTAGACAATACATGTTAAAGGAAGTGTCCAAGAATAAAATAAATTAGAGATGGAAAGGCACTAGTAGGTCATCTAATCGCTCCCCTCCCCGCAAAAATCATGCCAGAACCTTTCCCTACAGTACATTCTCCAGAGCTTTGTCCATTCTAGTTTCAAGCGTCTTAGGGATGAGGATTCCCTTGGGAGATCCATTCATACAAAGTTATGTTGCATTCAGCAAGCCAAAACAGATGGAAATATAATGAAACTCCTTGAAACACCAAGTGAGAACACAGAATGCTTACTAAAAACATTTTAAGAAAACTTCCTAGTGCGACAGTGCATTTCTTTTAGCAGTCTCTGAAACTACTAAGCAGAGATCCTGCCATGCTGCTTGCCCATAGTTTGGGTGTATGGAGGGGAAGAAGGGTACCCTACCATATGTCCTCTTTCCTAAGCTCAGCACATTGAAAGATAAATTCTATATACATGTAAGATCTCAAGCATATAAATGATTTATTCACCTCTGAAGTGCAGCCCCCTTGGCAATATAGTGCACCAGCTTTTTATCATTGCACAAACACAGTTCCATTGAAGAACCAAAACAACCAGGTCACTAGTTTAGCAGGTCTCATATGTATTTGTATTACCACACTGAGATCACAGACTAGTTAACTGCACAGTATATATGAGACACAAGGTGTGTGAGGTAAATCTCTTCTATTGGACCAGTTTCTGTTGGTGAAAGAGGCAAGCTTTTGAGCTACACAGAAGAAGAGCTCTGTGTAGCTCAAAAGCTTGTCTTTTTCACCAACAGAAGTTGGTCCCATAAAAGATATTATCTCACCCATCTTATCTTTCTCGTATTCTGGGACCAAAACGACTTACAACACTGCAATGTACAATGTATATGTAAGTGACAGGAACTCTCTCCTCCCCCAAAATGACTTACACTGGTTGCAGTTTACAGTGAGGTTGTCATAACCCAGAAAGACAGCTTCACATGTCCCACATCTGTTCAAGTGACAGGTCACATACTCATTGTACTGGCAGGAGGCATCTTCACACACATAATCATAGTCAGTTTCCATGGGCAGGCAATGCATCTTAGATTCATAGAAGGTTAGGGTTGGAAGGGACCTCAGGAGGTCATCTAGTCCAACCCCCTGCTTGAAGCAGGACCAATCCCCAATTTTTGCTCCAGATCCCTAAACGGCCCCCTCAAGGATTGAACTCACAACCCTGGGTTTAGCAGGCCAATGCTCAAACCACTGAGCTATCCCTCCCCCCGATTTCAGCTTGTAGCAGGGGAGCCTCAGGGCTGGTGCACCATTAGCCCAAAGTGAGCTCAGCAGCCTGTAACTAGACTCCTAATAAAATCAAAATTAGCTCTGATATTCCTCAGTGGAGAGAGGAGGAAGTGCAATTAGCATGTAAGGCCCTCACCCAGGGGCCCATTCCACCAAGTATTAATACTTATCCCCAGCCTCTCTCCAGATCTGGGCACTCATCATCTAAAAGAGAGGTTTGCTTTCATTAAACGCCATCTTCTGCTTTCTTGGCCCCTGCCATTTCCTAATTAACTACCCCAAATATATAACTGGAGAATCTCAGTCATACTGACAGCCTTGGAGACTGATATCTTTGTATTTACAGGCCAGGCACTATTGAATATGATTAAAATTCAAGGCAGCAAACAGACAACACCATAGATCTCAAAGTGCTTTACAAAGGAGGTCAGGATCATTATCCCTGTGAGGCTCAGTCAGGGGAAGCGACTTACCCAAGGTCACAGAAAACCAGCGGCAGAGCTAATAATTGAACCGTGGGCTCCTGATTCCCAGTCCAGTGACTAGCTGTTAGAATATCTTGCCTCCCAGATCTTGTTAGCTGGAAGTTCAGTGCTCAGCCTCTGAATTCCCACTCTAAAGAATATAACTGGTTTGGGTTCATCTGGTCTCAGGCAAAGATTTAGAAACACAGATATCCTGGAAAGAAGAAGAAAAAAGACTTTCCAGGCAAACAATCAGTATTGATGAGATCTTGATATGAAATGCACACAATCCAGAATCACAGATGGCAAACCAAACTTCATCCAGGAAAGTTCTGCTAGATTCCCTTCTTAGTAATGAGAGAAAAACCATCATTCACTGTTACTCAGAACCACTGGTCCAAGTACCTTTTCACTTACTGGGACAGGAGATACATGGCAGATGACTTCCAAAATGACTACGCAGAAGAAAACACCGTGGAAACATCTTTTTCCCTTGGCCCTGTGCAATAGAAACACTGACATAGTAGTTCTAAAAAGGTTTTTCCCATTTACCCACTACATGGCTAGCAGCTTAATCTCCAGCAGTCAGTTCCAGTTCATTAAAGCTGCAGTTTGCCATTATGTCTTCCAGGTACAGTTCATCACACAGATGTGGAGCTACATATTTTAAACCCAAAGCAATGTGGGACATTTATGGTACTGAAAAGAAAGCACTGCATGCTCTAGCTCATAAGCACTTTTCTCAATGAAAAGGCCTATTTGAAGAGGAAAGTACAGTCGTGTTGTGGGACTAAATTTAACTTGGCAGTATATCCAATTCCATGGAAGGAAGGTGGAAATTTGGCTCAGGATCAATTTCACACAGTAGGCTGGATTCTCAGCTGGTGTAAATCAGTGTTGCTAATGGAACTACACCAATTCACACCATCTGAGAATCTGATCCTGTATCTTCAGGCTCTTATACCCAATAGAGAAGGGTGGATTTTAAACTGGACTACTGCACTGAATCTTACTGAATTAACTAAATGACTGGTCCCAGAATCAGATATCACTTCCCCTCAGTCTTTTACCCCTCACATTCTCCCTGTCCCCTTTTCCCCTAAGCAGTCCTCCTCAAACTTCCTCCTGCTCCCTACATCTCTTGAGCTTCTTGCAGTTATCTATCCAGGCTCCTGATTTTCAATAGCTCATAATTTGGGCAGGTTAGCAAGACCAGGGCAACCCCCCTGCTAAATTTCTAGACTCTCCTTCCCCCTGTCCCCCTCCAAGCCTCCTTCTTTTACTGGAGTTTCAGGATTGTAGAGGAGCTCTTTGTAGTAGAGAAAGTGCTGTATGATGATGGTTCCCCCCCCACACACACACCCTCGATTCTCTTAGCATCAGGTACTTCAAGCCTCCCGATACTGTGAACTGCTGAATAAGCACTAGGCTCTGTAGGTACATGCCCTAGGAACCTGGCTCAGTGAGCAGTATGGGAGCATGGTTAAAATGCACAAGAATCTAGTCTGCTGCACCAGGCACTTCTGCTCCAGAAAAGTGAGAAATCAAAGAGGAACCAGGTGCAGCTGTGAGGCTACAGAAAAAGGAGACTGCCCAGCCATCCCTCCCCACCCCAAGTTCCTCCCACATAGGGCTGGGGTCAGTACCTGCATGAAGGGTCCAGGCTGCTTGCCATTGCTGCTGCTCCCATTCTTCAGGCAGGGAGGTGGGACAAAGGTTTCCTCACCCTGCTCCTACTTTTGCCAGCTAGAGTCTCCCTCCTGTCAGGCCTACTATTACCACTGCTGCATGTGTGCTGACGGGCTGAGGGAAGATGAGGAATCTGGCTTAATGCTCCATTGCTGCTACTCCAATTCTTCAGCAAGCCTAGGGCACTCTCCAGTACTAAAGGGGAGGAGCAGAGCCTGGCTCACTGATACAGATCAAGACAATGGGTATGAAAACAATGGGTTCTGCATGGCGAAGGAGCAGGGGCCGATACAAGGGTGATGCCAAACTTTCTTTTTATATGCCTGAGGAGTGACTTGTCTTACAGAGGCCCTGCAAAGGAATTCTTAAACATTGGGCTTGTGTGCTCTCTTGTTGCTTTATGATGGATAAAGATGACCTAAAAGATTTAAAAATAAAAAATATGCTTTAAAAAACCCACAACCTTAGAAATGTCAGGAATATACAGTCCAATTCTCCTGCTTTTGCTGCAGAACTTGTTGGGTGTCTCAGAGATGCTCTAACCCCTTACCTAAAGGGTTAGGAATGTGGAAAAAGGACATTTCTAGAAACTGAGTAGACATGTAATGTAATATTTCTGTGACCCATGTCTTTTCTCCTCCGGCTAGCCTGACATTCAGCCCAGGCAAAATCATGGAAAGACTGATACGGGGTGCAATCAGTAACAAATTAAAGGATGGTAGTGTAGTTGATGACAGCATGGTTTTATGGAAAAATAACTCTTGTGACACAAAGCTCATTTTTCTTGATGAAATTACAAGCCTGAATAATAAAAAGTAATTCAGAATATGGCATGCTTAAGACTTCTGTAAGGTATTTGACTTAGAACTGGACAACATTCTGATTGAAAAATTAACAATATAAAGAATACCAATGGAACGTAATCCATGAAATGGATTACAAACTGACAAATCTCAAAAAGTAAATTGTAAATGGAAAACCATCATCCAAGAGGCTATTTCACATGGGATCCTGCAGGAATCTGTTGTTGGCCCAATGCCATCCAATATCTTTATCAGTAATCGCAAAGAAAATATAAAACCATTTCTGTTAAAGAAGACACTAAAATTGGTGAAATGGTAATGAAGGCCAGGTGAGTTTTATAAAGCAATCTGGATCACAAAATAAGCTGGGCTCACTTGAACATGTGTTTTAATACAGCCAAACTGCCAAGAACACAGAATGTAGGTCACACTTACACAATGAGGAACTGTATCTTGGAAAGCAGTGACTCAAATAGATTTAGGGTCATGGTGCACAACCAACTGAACATAAGCTACCAGGTTAAAGCTGTGGTTAAGAGGGCTAACACAGATACATAAGCAGGAGAAATATCATGTAAGAATAAGGAATGGCAATTACATCTGCATACAGCACTGTACAGTAAGTTCATGGAACTGGGGGCCAGCCAGCCATTGTTGCTGCTCTTAGTCTTCAGGTGCGGAGAAAAGGGTCTGGGGAAATGGGCTTGCACCCACCACCCCCAACCTGCTTACACTTACACTTCTCAGAGGGTGGAGTGGAGTCAATGACTTGCTCTTATGCATGAGAAATGAGACCCATGAAATCACAAACGTTCTAGCTCTAGTGCTGGGAGAGGAGGAGCAGGGTAAAGTGAGCTAGAAGGCGAGAAAATGGACAAGTGTGAGCAAGAGGATGAATGTAGGGAGAGAGGCGGAGAATAATATAGAGCAGGAGCTCCAGGAACTTCCCCATCCCATGGGAGAAAAAGCAAAGCAATGTAGCAAAGCAGAAACAGACCTCCAAGGGTGGGCAGACTCTAGGCATGCCAGATCCTCTTCCACACCCCTACCATTGGCCACATCTCAAAGGGGAACAGAGAATGAGTGACTCAATTTTTGATCCACCAAAGAAACAGAAAAGTTAGAGTCTGACCTCTCTTTCTTCACCCACCACCCAGTAACAAGCTGCTAGCTCTAATTTGAGTGTTCCTGCCATCTCTCAGACTCACATGAAACTGGGGTTTTAGAAGTAATGGATTTTTTAAAAAGAAAAATAGCACTGAATCCATTAATTTTGAAACAAAAATGTGGCCATACTTGCACTTAATCAGAGTGATAATATGAGGCTAAATTTACTAAGTAAAGCAATTTAAGATCTTCAGTAAAAGTTGCTACAGAAGTATTATAAAATTTAAGAACATGGTCAAACATTTGCACATCCCCATCTCTATTCAAAATACGTTCACAACATGGATAAATGAATTACAATGCAAACTAAAATGGACTTAGTCTGTGCTGCAATGCTAACAGATCTCATCAGCTGACCAGGGTTGGGCTGGACAGGAGCCCTCCATGGTGTATCTCATTGCGGCAGAGATAAGTATAAGTGATTGAGTAGCTCGCACTCTTCCTTCAGAGTCGATACAAAACCAATACCCCATATGATATTAAAGGGCTCTGCTGTTGGAGGTAGTTTCTTTCACAGATGAAAACTCAGATCCTCATCATTTGCAGTCTCAACAACAAGGGTGTGAAATCCAGTGTCTTGTTCATATTTTAGCACTTTCTATATAAGTAAATTCCCTATTTATTTTCGTCTGAACATAGTAACATTACACATTTGTTTATAATGGGAAGTGGAAAAAATATGCTATACACTGTTAAACAGTTGCCATATTCCATCTTATATCAGTGTCGACTAGCCTGTAAAGTACAGAGTTGCTATAAACAGTCTAATATCCTGAGCAGTCACCTTAGCAAGCGGCACCTCAAAACAGAATTACCATTTTCTTTCTCTCATGACAATTACCCAATGTATGTTGGGAGTACAGGGAAGTTAATTATAATAGCTTGCGTATTTAAAACAAAACAAAAACTTACTGCTAGAAAAAATCTAGGTATTAAAAATAAAGATGTATACATTTTCCTCACCAAAATTAACATTTAAAAAATAAAAAATCCAAGTTCCAATGAAATTAAAATATTTAAGTATGTTTTTCATAAATATTTACATTAGAATTGTCATATCATGTACACATGCAAAGACAAAGCTGATAAAAGCCAAAACTTGTTTGACAAGTTAACAGTTTATCAATTGAGCTAATTGTTGCTTGGATATTTTTTCAAGAGTTTTACTTATCTTCTTGTTTTGTACAGAAAGCAAGATACTGGAACATACGTGGATATTTATATATACATCCACACCAAGCAGGACATATTTAGCCTGTTGACAGCAGCAGATTGTAAAGGGTACATTTGGCAGATGTTTACTTCCTGTGCTGCCTAGCAAATTGTAGTAGGCATGTCTTGACATTCCACTGAATTCAAGGGAATGGCTGTATTAAACTGTAGCATACGAGTTGTAGATGGGGTCCAACAGCAAATTAATTAACGGTAAGTATCATTTTGTGGATTTCGCTGCACTTTCCAGAAAAACAGATGTATTTACATGTGTAAAGCAGCCCACTACAAGATGTGGAACAAATTCTAGGGTATTTACAGCTAGTGGTGTGGCACAGTAATAGCAAAGTTTTTAACAAATTATTCTTAGTAAGAAAAGTATGTGCATAGTCCGTTGAAGTCCCAGTCAGAGATAATGGTTGAAGACCATTATAGTTGGTCTTTTGGACATCAAAATTCCCTTTTTTGTTTGTTTTTTCTTTTTCTTGTTTGTTCTTGCACCATCTTCTTTTAATCTTCCAGTAGCAATTCCAGTTCTTCTATAGGTACCCTTACTCTCAATTCTTTTTCAGTCATTAGATCTAGGGTCTCTTGCAGTTGATCTGGAAAATACTCTATTGCATCCATATACAGCACCTATGAATACAATTTAAAAAAAAGAACATTTACTCAGACATTTTTCTGTTCAAGAAAGAGGGACTAGACAGAAAGGAGTACATACAACTAGCAGATGCAACCAGCATTTCAGCATACGTATAAGAAAGAATAAAGATAGGGGTATGGACTATAAATGACTAGGTCTCTTATTCAGCATCCAAATGTAGAGTCTGAAATGTGCTGAATCTCTTGAAGCTCCTTTTAATTTCAATGGGAGTCATAGGTGCTCGCCAATTTATTTATTTATTTTCTGCAATTCTCTGAATTCCTTCTAATTTGTCTTCTACATATTTCTGCTACTGACATACTCAGAATTAAACACGGTACTCAGAACACCATCTCTCCGGGGTCACAGGGAGGGGGATCGTCTCCATGCTTTATACAATACAATTCCTCAACTTATGAAACTGAAAACTGCACTGGCCACTTTATTTATTTATTGTTTACCCTGCAAATTGACCTCTCATTTGTAGTCAATCTTTGGTATCTTTTGACAGTAAGAGTTCCCCCAGCTTTCATTCTTTTCCCACATATGTAGCATGGCTAATTACATCCTAAACTTTTCAAATTTATTTCTATAAAAATCTTCATTTCTTGATGATCAATTTAAATTTAAAAACAAAACAAAACACTTACCTTTGCCCAGGGACAGTTCTGAAGGGCTTTATAAAACAGTCCTTTGCTCCTTTCTTTATCTCCTAGAGAAAACTGTGAGGGGAAAAAAATCCATATTTCAAATAAAATGGGGCTGCTGAAGTGATATTTTATGTCTTCTTAGAAGCAGAGAAACAACCATGCAAAAGTTCAGACAGAGGTTCCCTGGTGAGGAGTCCTTTATGAACAGACTGTATAATAGGCATACATGTAATATGGTATATTATATTAATGGACTATGATATGAGCAATGCCTTTATGAGGTAGGAGTTGGCCCTTCATAACTCACAAGTGGCGGAGTGAAACAGAAACATCAAAGAATGACTAAGAACCTGTTTGACTTTTCACTTGCAAGACAGCACTTCTCTAATACTGCAGTCAAAGGTTAGCATTAAGCAAGAACACAACTCATGGCATGGAAGCATGGGGCTCCAAGGCAAGTACATTAGCAACTGAGCTATACTATCTTTTCCTGCTAATCTCTAAATACTGTGTCATCCTAACTTTTCTCTCTCCTTAAAAAACTAGAATATCTAATTGTTCCATTTCCAGATTTTCCTCAATTCCAAATTTGCTAAGAAGTACCCTCCATTTGTCCATACAATGTTAGTATACTTCTATTTGTAAGCAAGTAATAATATTTAAATGCACAACAATATTTGCATTTTATAAAGGGGTTAGATAATTCTATCACGTGCCTACAAAAGCGACAGTCCACAAAAAATGTGTGCGGGAATGATAGTGCACATAGTTTCACACATATAGCAGGAGAAAGGGTTGCGGTCTTCTTGAAAATGTAGACCCTTTTGTTTGCAAAAATTAACTTTGCATCTGTGATAAATTTGGCAGGTCTAGCTATACAATTTATAAATTCTGTGTGAGATTATGAACAGTCTATCTTTAGCAGACTGCAAACTCCATTTTGAATATCTGGGGGTAGCTGTCTCCTCTGCTGTACTTTTGCCTCCATAATGGACAAAAATCCCACAGGGGAGCGATACAGGGTTGACAAAGGTTCATTAACTCGGGATGGTCCTCTATGCAAATATAAATATAATTGAAAACAGATAGGCTCCCACCCAGAAGTGGTTTGTCAGAGGAGGGCACCTGGCAACAAAGTCACCTAATAAGGGTTTAAGGTCACCTGACAGAGACTAGACAGTGATTAAAGGACAGGAGTTGAATGATTTGAGATCTTTAGTCACTTACAATAGGTATGGATACTTGGTGAAAGTGTCAACAAAAAAACCTTGCTGGAACTATGGAGAGCAAACTGGCCCAGTTTTATCGTACATCATCTTTACTGAAGAATCTTATATGGTATTTACAAGAGCCATGTATAAAGCTTTCACCACATCAATTCCAACAGGTTGTTATAATGTCTACATTCTCTATCTAGATAAGGAGCATGCAGAATTCCTTAATCAGTATGAAGAAAGTCATGATCCAGACATCACCACACACCTTGAGACAGCTTGAATATTTCTAGAAGAGCAAGATGAGAGCAGGTTAATATGGAACTAAACACCTCAAGATCCAGCCACAAAGCCAGGGCATTAATCAGAAAACTTGGTGCTGCTCAGCAGCCTCCAGCATAGTGCCAACACCCAGTCTATCCAAACAGCATTGCTACCCACCTGATAAATGTTGCAAAGGCAGATAAGGACAAAAAGTTTGAAGGAGAGATGAAGAAATAATGACGGCACTAGAAACAGTGCATATCTAAAAGTGAAGACTTCAGCCTTTTGCCACAGATGAAACAGAAAGGGCGATCAAAACACTGAAAACAGATGATGCTAAGGGCTTGGTAATAGCTCAGCTGAATTCCTGAAGAGCCTGGGAAAAACTAGCAAACACTGAGTAGCCATTTTGCTATCCAGAGTCATGTAGCATTCGATGTAAGAGTCATCTAGAAGAATAAAAAGCCTAAGATCTGGCACAGGACAAAAGATAATAAATAGTCTTGCCAAAACCTGAGAAAGACAATCGAGTTGCAGCATATTACCACAACCCCATCTCTTTGTTACGATGTGTGTACAAATTACTTGAAAGGCTTATCCTTCAGAGAATTGCTCCCACCCCTTGTCCTGAGCGTAGATGAAACAGGTTTCACACCAAACCACAGTATCTGTGGTTAAGTGCTGGCACTCACTGCCTACATCACGAATGGCTTCCAGACCAGGTAGAGGACAGGTCCTAGACTTTGCTGCTGCATATAACACGATCTGGCATACAGGCTTAAGGTGCAAAGTGTCATTGGTCATACCATGATGGGCTGTCACAGGTGTGGAACTGCTGCTGAGAGGCCACCAGTTCCAAGTTTCACATGGACACAAAAACAGCTCCTGGAGGTCCCAAAACAATGGTATACCTCAGGAATCAGTTCTAGCACTGGTTTCAGAGTAACAGCCATGTTAGTCTGTATTCGCAAAAAGAAAAGGAGTACTTGTGGCACCTTAGAGACTAACCAATTTATTTGAGCATAAGCTTTCGTGAGCTACAGCTCACTTCATCGGATAACTATCCAATGCCACGCACAGATGAACTATTAGAGAAACTGGGACGGGCCCAGTTCATCTCTACCTTGGACTTAACCATGGGTACTGGCAGGTACTGCTAGATGAATCTGCCAAGGAAAGGTCAGCCTTCACCACATATCTCGGGTTGTATGAATTTAATGTACTCCCTTTCGGGCTGCGAAATGCACCCACCACCTTCCAAAGACTTGTAGATGGTCTCCTAGCGGGATTAGGAGAATATGCAGTCGCCTACCTTGACGATGTGGCCATATTTTCGGATTCCTGGGCAGACCACCTGGAACATCTACAAAAAGTCCTTGAGCGCATAAGGGAGGCAGGACTAACTGTTAAGGCTAAGAAGTGTCAAATAGGCCTAAACAGAGTGACTTACCTTGGACACCAGGTGGGTCAAGGAACTATCAGCCCCCTACAGGCCAAAGTGGATGCTATCCAAAAGTGGCCTGTCCCAAAGTCAAAGGAACAGGTTCAATCCTTCTTAGGCTTGGCCGGTTATTACAGACGATTTATATCGCAATACAGCCAAATCGCCACCCCACTGACAGACCTAACCAAACAGAAACAGCCAAATGCCATTCAGTGGACCGAAAAGTGTCAGAAGGTCTTTAACAAGCTTAAAGCGACACTCATGTCTGACCCTGTACTAAGGGCCCCAGACTTTGACAAACCGTTCCTAGTAACCACAGATGCGTCCGAGCGTGGTGTGGGAGCAGTTTTAATGCAGAAAGGACCTGATCAAGAATTCCACCCTGTAGTGTTTCTCAGCAAAAAACTGTCTGAGAGGGAAAGCAACTGGTCAGTCACTGAAAAAGAATGTTACGCCATTGTCTACGCTCTGGAAAAGCTACACCCATATGTTTGGGGACGGCGTTTCCACCTGCAAACTGACCATGCTGCACTGAAGTGGCTTCACACCGTCAAAGAAAATAACAAAAAACTTCTTCGGTGGAGTTTAGCTCTCCAAGATTTTGATTTCGACATCCAACACATCTCAGGAGCTTCTAACAAAGTGGCTGATGCACTCTCCCGTGAAAGTTTCCCAGAATCAACTGGTTAAAATCGTCCTTGAGATGTAGAAAATATTGTTAGTCTTTATGTACTTGGTAGTATATTTAGAGATGCATGTGTCTTATTAACTCTGTTTTTCCTAGAGCTCCCGGAAGAAATCCCTGCCAGTTTTCACCCTAGCTGAGATTTGGGGGGCATGTCATAAATATAAAGGGAAGGTAAACCCCTTCAAAGGTAAACCCCTTTGAAATCCCTCCTGGCCAGGGGAAAGCTCCTCTCACCTGTAAAGGGTTAAGAAGCTAAAGGTAACCTCGCTGACACCTGACCAAAATGACCAATGAGGAGACAAGATACTTTCAAAAGCTGGGAGGAGGGAGAGAAACAAAGGGTCTCCGTCTGTCTACATGCTGTTTCTGCCGGGGATAGACCACGAATGGAGTCTTAGAACTTTTAGTAAGTAATCTAGCTAGGTACGTGTTAGATTATGATTTCTTTAAATGGCTGAGAAAAGAATTGTGCTGAATAGAATAACTATTTCTGTCTGTGTATCTTTTTTGTAACTTAAGGCTTTGCCTAGAGGGATTCTCTGTGTTTTGAATCTAATTACCCTGTAAGGTATCTACCATCCTGATTTTACAGGGGGGATTTCTTTATTTCTATTTACTTCTATTTTTATTAAAAGTCTTCTTGTAAGAAAACTGAATGCTTTTTCATTGTTCTCAGATCCAAGGGTTTGGGTCTGTGGTCACCTATGCAAATTGGTGAGGTTTTTTATCCAACATTTCCCAGGGGAAGGGGGGTGCAAGTGTTGGGAGGATTGTTCATTGTTCTTAAGATCCAAGGGTCTGGGTCTGTAGTCACCTAGGCAAATTGATGAGGCTTCTTACCAAACCTTGTCCAGGAAGTGGGGTGCAAGGTTTTGGGAAGTATTTTGGGGGGAAAGACGTTTCCAAACAGCTCTTCCCCAGTAACCAATATTTGTTTGGTGGTGGTAGCGGCCAATCCAAGGACAAAGGGTGGAATATTTTGTACCTTGGGGAAGTTTTAACCTAAGCTGGTAAAGATAAGCTTAGGAGGTTTTTCATGCAGGTCCCCATATCTGTTTCAAAGGGAACATGAAAGACAGATAGAACTCATGCGGCTGAAGGAGGAGGAAAAGGAACAAGAAAGGGAGGCAGCGAGAGAGGCAGCGAAAGAGGCAGAACAACACCAAGCGGCTGCTCACAGGAGAGCTATGGAAGCAAGAGACAAAGAACTGGAGGAGAAGGAAAAAGAGAGGAAGTATGTGGAGGAGATAGAGAAGATAAAGGCTCAGCAGAATATCCCAACAAACCCTAGCAATCCTTCTCCAAGTACCACTTCCCATCCCAGAAAGTTCCCCACCTACAAGGCAGGCGATGATACTGAGGCCTTCCTAGAAAATTTTGAAAGGGCCTGCCTTGGGTACAACATCTCTACTGACCAATACATGGTAGAGCTGAGGCCGCAGCTCAGTGGACCCTTAGCTGA